AAGAGAATATTATGAACAATACTTATAACATAGGTGTGAAAGACTAAAAGAGTTTTTCCTTTCCTAAAAATGATGAATGAGCAAATCTATCAGCTGAAAAGTAATAGTACTAACAACCCTGTATTCCATTTCTAAAGCATCTTTAACTGTAGGACTCAACACCTCCTCTCAGAAAGCTGCCATTTAAACTGGTAGAAACCCATCTTCACACATATTAGTAAAGGGGATTTGGGGGAGTTGGAATCATCTTGGGAAACACAGATTTTGCTAGGGCATCAATATTCCTTCTGGCTCCATTATTGAATGTGAATGTGTGTGGTGTGGGTATTACAGCTGTCTCCTACCTCTATTTCCCATATTTCTAACAGTGACAAATTGCTTAAACTGCCTTATGCCCTCATTTTACTAAATGGAGAATTGTCTGTTATTTGACAATTGTTGTCACTGAACTGTCAGAAAGTTGAGTGGACCTTTCTTAATAGAGGCCAGGTGTGTGGGGCCTGTGGGTATTAAATCGTTTAGCCATAATTGGATTTCTCTCATTAATACACTGCAGGTAGCCAGGACTTAAATTCTCATCAACCAAAGAAACCAATGTCAGTTTGTGTTTAAAAGAGAAGTGTCCAAAACTATCAGAAAGGGGACAATGGCCTGGCTTTAGAAATGTAAGGTAACTTAAGAAAATGGGAATTGCTCTGTTCCCAGACTTTTCTGCTTCGTTGGTGGAACAAAACTCTAAGAATGAAAGAGAAAAATAATTAGCAAGGGGAGAGGGTGCAGTCACTCTTAGACTTATGTAGTACAACAATTTCTCAAATAAAACCTGAATCATCTGCATCAGAATCACCTGGTAGGTTTGTCAAAAAGGCTGATTCCTGAGAATTTCTGGAATTTGGGGGAATGGATAGTAGAAATCTATAGCCAAAATGCCTCATGCCTGTGATCCTTATGCATTCTAAGCTTTGAGAATGTTCTTAGTATTTTTTTTTTATTTTTTCATTGCTTTATTATGTATTTATTTATAAAAAATATTTTTTTCCTAGCTCAATTTAGCTTTTTTTTAACTTTTAAGTAAAGACTTTAGAAATATCATTAAAGCAAGGCATTTACTTAGTGTTGATCTAATCCAGTACTTTTTTTACTAGAGGAAAGAGAAAGACTATCATAAAGAGATATGTACATTTTGCTTTTAATTTTCTTGATTATTATTCTATGTTTTAAAGAAAGAATGAATAATTGTTTAATTAATTTCAATATAGTGGCTTTCCATATGCAACATTTCAGAAGCATGATTGATCATAAGGTATATCCTATCCTTTTGTTTTATAGAACACAAGTATTTATGAAACACCTAATAAAATGAATATCTAGGCTGGGTGCAGTGGCTCATACCTGTAAGCCTAGCACTTTGGAAGGTGAGGTGGGTGGGTCATTTGAGGTCAGGAGTTTGAGACAAGACTGGACAACATGGTGAAACCCCATCTCTACTAAAAATAAAAAAATTAGCCAGGTGTGGGGGCACATGTCTGTAATCCCAGCTACTCGGAGGCTGAGGCAGGAGAATTGCTTGAACCCAAGAGGCAGAGGTTGCAGTGAGCTGAGATCATGGCACTGCACTCCAGCCCAGGTGACAGAGCAAGACTTCATATGTCTCAAATAAGTTTAAAAAAAAAAAGTGGGGGGGGGGGCAGGCGCGGTGGCTCACGCCTGTAATCCCAGCACTTTGGGAGGCCGAGGCGGGTGGATCACAAGGTCAAGAGATGGAGACCATCCTGGTCAACATGGTGAAACCCTGTCTTTACTAAAAATACAAAAATTTGCTGGGCACGATGGCACGTGCCTGTAATCCCAGCTACTCAGGATGCTGAGGCAGGAGAATTGCCTGAACCCAGGAGGCGGAGATTGTGGTGAGCTGAGATCACGCCATTGCACTCCAGCCTGGGTAACAAGAACGAAACTCCGTCTCAAAAAAAAAAGAAAGAAAGAAAATGTAAGAATCTATAAAATCGCTAAAGCATAGATTTAGCTGATAAAAACTTAAAGTGCTCTGAAGATCAGTAAAGTCACTAATAACTATTATTTGTGATAATTCTGCAAACATCTAATGAAAATTATCAAAAACAAAAAAATGTACTGCGAAGATTCATTAAGTTGCTTAGCTAGAGATATAAGGATCGATATTTCTACTTCACAGACTGAGACCCTCGAGGAATCTGTGAAGCAAAACAGAAGATCCCAAATAGGTGTTTTTTGAAAACAATAATGTAAGATCACATCAATGACTTAAATCCTGATTAGATTTAAAAGGTTTCACTGAGTTTGCAAAGTTTAGTATACAGAGAAATGAGTGATGGGGTATTTAAACATGAGAAAAATAAGAGCAAATATCAGGTGTGAAGAGCCATGACCTGTTTGGAGAAGGAAGAGTGTAAAGTCATAGAGACAGGAATAATCATGTATCAAAGTTCTTTTGGCTGCAGAAAATGTACCAAAACATTATGAAAAAGCTAAACTACAGATGATTTAAACAAAAAATAATTTATTATTTATTATAATAAGTTTTTCAAAGATGGGGTAATATCAAGATTTTCTCGGCAACTCAAAGGCAGCACAGTAGGATCCTTTTGTTTTACTCTCTGCTGTCACTAGCATGTTAGCTTTTTCTCCTTAAGTAATTCTGTTAATAGTCACCAAGTGGCTGCTGAAGTTCTAAGGTTTATATCCTGATGGAAACTTCTATAACCTGAAAAGGGATTCTTTTCTTGTCTCTATCTTTGCAATTAAGATAATTTTTTTTCATTACTCAAAATCACATATACACTTGCAAAACAATTCCTGGTAAAAAAGTGTGAAATTACTGTTTTTAAGTTAGTCTTTTCAAGACTTACCTCATTTAAAGACGTATCCTCCTCTGAAGCACAAAGTCCAGTGGTATCTGACCTAATTTGGGGTTCTGAGTCCAGATAGAAGGTAGGTTTTTGGTAAGATCACAGTATCTTCCATATTTATGCTAGAAACCAATATGCGTTCCTATATTATTGAGTCACTAAGATGTAATAACCTTGTAACAACACATTAGGATGGGTTCAACAGTGTAAATAGCAGTTATTAACTAAGGTTTTGCCCATAAACAACTTATATATTTAGATTCAATCTTTTTTTTACACTTCTCTGTCCTAATTGCCAGCCCTACTCTTAGGTATAAGAAATGTCTAATAGGCAAAATATTAGGGAACATGTCAAATGTCTGTTTTTAATTGTGTTGTTCATTTTACATTTTCTGTATTTATATTTTAAATTGTTGCTTTTAAATGACTGCATCTAAAAATGATTTGTAAAGCCCATTACATGAGCAGCACAGAATGAATCATTTAAAAATATAAATTTGGCAAAACATACAATGTATGTGAGCCTTTATGCATCCCAGAGAGAAAGATAGACAGAGAAAGAGAAAAGAGACAGATCACAACTCTGGGAATGAAAGGCTAAACTACACACATTTCATTGAGTGAGCCTAAGTTGGGGGATTTGAATCAGCATGTTATTTCATTGACTTTCGCTTCTTATGTGACTTTGAAGATTACACTTAAACTAAGTTGAGAGTGTAAACATACTCTCTTATACTCTCTCTCTGATTCTCTCACACACAGAGAATTTTTTTTCTTCTTCCTCCACACTTCCACTTTCCTATCTCTTCTCCTTCCTCTTGCCCTTTCCCTTCATTTTTCTTTACTTCCCTTTCTCCTCCTCTTCCATTTGTAGCCATCTAATGCAGATCCAAACTAAGTATTTCACCCAATGTGATTCCCACTGCAAAAATCACAAGCACAAATATGCAAGACAACTGAACAACCACAAAAAAGTTTCAGTGAACAAAACCCTGATTTATTGTCCCTATCTAGAAATAATTTTATCATTTTTCAAAATGGCACTAAAATGTAAAAGTGGCATAAGGTCTTCTTAAGAATAAGACATTTATCTTGTAAATTATACTCTCTTAAGGTATGATTACATTTACACTGAGGGCTGCTTATACCAGAGCAGTAGTGTTGCCATTATGACCTCCATGTTACCAGGAAAAAAACTCAATCCTAGGCAGGGTAGATAACTTAACTAATGAGCAGAAGTTGTGTGGCCTAAAAGAAAACAAAACGATGCATAACCTGGACTTTTTTTTCACAATAGCAAACTGATTCAAGTTTATACAGTCATGCTCTACATAATGACATTTTGGTCAGTGACATACCACATAGCAAATGGCAGTCTCATAAAATTATAACATGTTTCTACTGTACCTTTTCTATGTTTAGATTACATTGACAGAGAAAATACTGACCATTGTGGTACAGTTACCTATAGCATTCAGTACAGTGACATGCTATATCGGTTTGTATCCTAGGAGTCATAGGCTATATCACATGTTCTAGTATGTAGTAGACCGCCCATTTTAGGTTTGTGAAACTACACTTTATAATGTTCACAAAATGACAAAACTTCCTAACACATTTCTCAGAATGTACCTCATTGTTAAGTGACTCATGACTGCTTGTGTTTGTATTTAATGCCTGAAAATACTTAAAATACAGAATGAATATCAGTGTTGACAATTGATACTATACAGAAATGAGAGTTCAGTGTTTGAATGCTTTGGTGTTATAAAACACAGTGGAGAGGGTAATATGGTAACAAGCAAGATTTTCAGATACCTGGACTTTGATTTGGAACTATTCCAAGACTCTTGATCAATAATACTAAAAATATATTAAAAACTATGACAAGAAACAAATTTTCTGGTTATTAGTACCAAAGAACTCTGGGGAAACCTATTAAACAAAATTAAATGTTTGGAAATATAACACTATGGACTCTAAAGCTTATAGTCATTCTGTTTTCAAATATATGAAAAGCATATAGTCTCTGACTTTAGAGATTAATACAAAATATTGAGTTATTCATCTCACATTCAAATAATCTGAAGTCTGTATCTTTAATATTTGTAGACATCCAATGACACCTTTGAAATTCCCCTAATGTTGACTGGAAATGTAGTGTTACGGAAGAGGCTCAACTATGAAGACAAGACTAGCTACTTTGTCATAATCCAAGCTAATGTGAGTATTCAATTCATTTTAAACGTCTTCTGTAAAATGATGAAGTAAAAAACTCATCCAAAATGTGTCGGATACTCTTGGAGAGATCTGTGTCATTCACTTCTTCATCAGGGCACTCCTACCTTAGTGGTAGTTATATATAATATTCTTTTAGATGGAGAAAGGGATAGAATAGGTGTTTTTGTTCACTGTATTCTTTGACCTCTAAATTATTCTTATGTATTACCCATGATCCAGTATTTTTAGCCTATTCTGAAATATTTTTCAAAGTAGGATCCAGCAAATAGCTGCAGCAGAATCACCTTGGGTACCTAGTAAATATACATATTTCTGGACCCTACCTCTGATGTTCTGAATAAAAATCTCAGATGATGGAAGTGGAATATCTACATATTTAGTTCATCAGGAGACTCTAAGGTACAACAAAGGCAAAGAATCGTTGCCTAATTGGTCATGTTTTTCCTCATGGCCTTCACTTATTGAGTAATTGTTCACTAGATAGCAGCTAATGTGCCCATAACTGAAGTTTATGCTAATGTATGTAGATAACAATAACAGAACATCTAAAACACAATTGCTTATAAAACATAGACATTTATTATAGTTATTATTAGTGGAAGTTCCATAAAATTTCTAGAATTATGCGGCTCAGTATTTGGTTTGACAGTTCTATTATATCACCAGGGACTTAGGTTCTTTCTATCATTATACTTCTGTCTTCTCTGAAATGTGCTTATTTTCTCAATGCCTATCAACTGGGGGCTAGTTGTAAACCATGGCCATAAGTGTCACAACAGCATTTCAAATCTGAATGCAGCAGGTGGAAAGGGTAGCAAAACTATGATTTTCTTTTATGTTTATTTATTCTTCCTTCTTTGATTTGAGAAGATACTCTATTCAGAGTTCTCTCCTACCTAACATCTCCTTCCAGACTTGTATCACCTGAGTCAGCCTGATAGGAAGGAAAGCTGAGGAAGCCTGTATGTGTCAAAACGGAATGTGGTATTCAGTTCTGAATTATACTAGCTATGGTTCATATCATGAGACTGGGCACATTGATAAACTGAAAACGTTTTTCTTTTCTTACCAGGAAGAATGGGAGTGCGATTTGAGAAAAAAATTAAAAGGGAAGATCATAGAAAAAGTCCCATATTAGGTGACAAGCTTACGTTTTTGAAATAACAGTTAAGAAATGAGCTATCAAGATATAAAAAGTATGGAGAAAACTTAAATGGATATTAATAAGCAAAATAAGCGATTAATAAAAGGCTAACATTGGATGATTCCAATATATAACATTCTAGTAAAGGCAAAACTAGTGAAATAGTATAAAGATCAGTGGATGCCAGGGATATGGTGGTAAAGAAAGAGATTAATAGAAGGTTCAAAAAATATTTTTAGGTCAGTGAAAATACTCTAGATGATACCATAAAGTTGGATAATATCATTATACATTTGTCCAAGCCCATGGAATATACAGTACCATGAGTGATCTTTAAAGGATGGAACTTTGGTGATTATCATTGTTCAATGTAGATTCATTAATTGTAACCAATGTACAATTTTGATTGGGGATGTTGACGAGGGGGATGATACGCATGTGTGGGGGCATGAGTATATGTACCCTCCTCCCAACTTTTGAAAAAACCTAAGACTGCCCTAAAATAAGTCTTTTCTTTTTTTAAAGCAGCTAGACTCAAAGCCATCTTGTGCCTTTGATGACTCCTAAGTGTTGTAATCTTGCTTGCATAGCAGAACAGAAAGATAACAGGGGATGGTAAAAGGAAAATAATCTCAAGTAGCTGTTCTGAAGAAGTTAATGTGAAATAATGTGTCATGAACTTGTCATTTTGTGGTCTTTCTTAGAGCTATATCACCTGAAACAGAATGTGTATGTGTATAGATAGATAGGTAGATAGATTATATAATTAGGCATATGTAGATAGAAATATGTAGGTAGACATATAGATCTAATTTTTGAAGATAAGTTTATAAGCTTTTATTTATATTTCTTCAGTCTTTAGAAATTTATATAATTATACATAGTATATATTATATAATATATATGTATATGTGTGTGTATATATATATTTAACATCATGTGACATAGAACAGAGTGAAAACTATGCATATGGGAAAAATGAAAATCTATTAGGGAGATCTACTCAGAGTTCCTCAAAAACACTGAAAATTCCTTTTCTATGTACCTGAAGATGTGAAGAAAGATACAATGTCTTTTTTATAAATTCAGATTCCTATGGAATGTATTCATAAGCTAGTTTCTTATGCAATTCAAAAGAGCTAATTTTTAAAAGAAATGCAAGGTAAAAGATTCCAAATTTATATTTATAAAGACATCTGAAACAATTTCTATCCAACATGATGGTCTACTCATAACTGAGGGAGTGATTAGTTTTTAGCATATCAGGGATACAATATGATGAAGTACATATGTAAATAATCAAAAGAAGCCTTATCCCAAAGGTGGCAGAAAAAAAAGAAAAAAAGAAAGGAACAGCATTAGGAAGAAGTCAAATGAAGATTGGAATTTAAATGCAACAATAGCTTTTATTATAAATTTAAGTCATACAGCACAAAATGTAAATGTTAAATATAAAAGTTTTTTTAAATATACTTTAAGTTCTGGGGTACATGGGCAGAATGTGCAATTTTGTTACATAGGTATACATGCACCATGGTGGCTTGCTGCACCCATAAGCCTGTCATCTATATTAAGTATTTCTCTTAATGCTATCCCTCCCCTAGCCCTCCACCCCTTCACAGGCCCTGGTGTGTGATGTTCCCCTCCCTGGGTCCAGGTGTTCTCATTGTTCAACTACCACTTATAAATAAGAATATGGATATTTTTCTCTTCCTGTATTAATTTCCAGGGATGATAACTTTCAGCTTCATCCATGCCCCTGCAAAGGACATGAACTCATCATTTTTTGTGGCTGCATAGTGTTCCATGGTGTATATGTGCCACATTTTCTTTATCCAGTCTATCATTGATGGGCATTTGGGTTTGTTCTAAGTCTTTGCTATTGTGAACAGTGCCATAGTAAACATACATGTGCATGTGTCTTTATAATAGAATGATTTATAATTCTTTGGATATGTACCCAATAGTGGATTGCTGGGTCAAATGGTATTTCTGGTTTTCTGCTTCTAGATCCTTGAGGAATTGCCACACTGTCTTCCGCAATGGTTGAACTAATTTACAACTCCACCCAATAGCGTAAAGCATTCCTATTTCTCCAAACCCTCTCTAGCATCAGACTTTTTAATGATCGCCATTCTAACTGGCCTGAGATGGTATCTCATTGTGGTTTTGATTTGCATTTCTCTAATGAACAGTGATGATGAGCTTTTTATCCTGTTTGTTGACCATATAAATGTCTTGAGAAGTGTCTGTTCATATCCTTTGTTCACTCTTTGATGATTTTTTTTGTAAATTTGTTTAACTTCTTTGTAGATTCTGAATATTAGCCCTTTGTCAGATGTATAGATTGCAAATTTTTTCTCCCATTCTCTAGGTTGCCTGTTTATTCTGATAATAGTTTCTTTTGCTGTGCAGAAGGTCTTTAGTTTAATTAGATTGCATTTGTGAAGGGATGCTAGCTATCGTTCCTAACAAGATGTAATTACTAAAATTATAATATTACTATTTCTTTATTAGCTCAATTTTTTATTTTTATGGACTGAAATATTCAAATAAAATATTTAAGCATTATAAATGTACATGTTTGTATATGTAAAATTCATTTTCTATATTTTATATTTCAACCTTTGTAAGCAACTTGTCAGAAATAACCCCTATTTTGACCTTCCCTCAGTTCTTCTTCCCACTGATGTGTGAGGTTAATGTTAATTATAACCCCATTGTTTCAACTCTGCAAGTTTCTTGATCATTTTCTGAGGAATGAGAGTGAAATGGAAGGATAGAAGATGATGGTTTATGAAAATTAATATTTATGGAGTGTTTGACTACTAAAGATACATACATATTTGGGAATATAAATGATACTATTCTGTCTGCTGGTTTGCATAAAAATTAAGAAATATTAGGCAAAAGTCTCAAACAAAAAATGTTTTCAAGAGAATAGAATATCTTACTTCCCTTTGGTTAATGTTCACAGAAACATGATTTTTTTCCTCAACTTGTATTTTAAACACAGGGAGTACCTATGCAGCTTTGTTACATGAGTGTATTGCACTCACATAGTCAGTGTAGTACTCAGTGGGTAGTTTTCTGAACCATCCCGTCTCCCTGCCATAGTAGTTCACAGTCTATTGTTCCTATGTTTCTTTTCCTGGGCACTCAGTGTTTAGCTCCCACTGAAAACTGGTATAATGTGGTGTTTGGTTTTCTGTTCCTACATTAATTCACTTGGATTATGGCCTCCAGCTCCATACATGTTGTTTCCAAAGGACATGATTTTATTCTTTTCTGTGGGTTTGTAGTATTCCATAGTGTATATGCACCACATTTTCTTTATCTAGTTTACTATTGATCGGAACCTAGATTGATCCCATGTTTTTGCTATTGTAATAGCATGGCAATCAATATACATGTGCATGTGTCTTTTTGGTAGAATGAACTATTTTTCTTTGATTATATACCCAGTAATTGGGGTTGCTGGGTTGAATGGGAGCTTGGTTTTAAATTGTTTGAGAAATCTTCAAACTGCATTCTGCAGTGGCTGAAATAATTTACATGCCCACCAACAGTGTATAACCATTTCCTTTTTTCTGCAGCCTCACCAGTATATGTAATTTTTTGACTCTTTAATACTAGCCATTCTAACTGGTACGAGATGACATATCATTATGGTTTTGATTTGCATTTCCCTAATGATAAATGCTGATGAGCATTTTTCATGTTTGTTGACTACATGTATGTCTTCTTTTGAGCAGTGTCTGTTCATGTTCCTTGCCCCTATTTTAATGGGGTTATTTGCTTTTTGCTTGTTCAATTACTTAAGTTCCTTGTAGATTCT